GAGGGCCATTATTGAAGCGGACCCACGCAAAAAAAACTCGAGAGATTGCAGAAGAACGAAAGGTTGACCATTCAACAGTTGCTCGACATTTGTACTCAATTGGAAAATCAAAAAGGTGAGACAGTCCGAGACCAGTCTGTTGTCGATTGATAATGTGGTAAGCAGCTGACAATGACAAGCAACTGCTTGCTAAGTTTGGACGTGCTTCCATGTTTCTTACGCATGCTTGAAATGCAATCCAATTCAAATCTAAATTTTGATTGTTTATTTAGGAAAAAATGGGTTGAAGAAAAATACACCTTGACTCGTGTGGTACATACTGAGGTGACCACTCCACCAGGAAGGTCTTTGCACACTAGGAATCTCTCACTTTAGCCATCGTGAGGTCTCCGACCTCGCATTGTATGTGTAGCTGATCAGAGTGCTACCTATTGGATGTTGAGTAGTGCGCGAGATGCGCACTACTCAAATGTCATGCCACATGCACCATGACTAACTGTGCACTAAGCACCTGCTGCTCATCCCTCGACAGATTCCACACCGACGAGTTGTACATACCATGCGCGACTGGAGGCCTCATGCTGGCTGCCATACGCAACCATAGAGAATACCTCCGAGAGTAAGCGTTTGTACATCTTATCTGTGCCCTATTGTGAAGTATTTCTAAGTCGCTCCACGACCGGTTGTTCTTACATGAATGCAGAAACTTTTAAATCGTATCTTGGAATATTGGAAAATAAAGAGACCAATTGGAGGAATGTTGTGGCAGAGGACTTGTATCTGCAAAAATCTCTTGGGTATTCGTTGGGTATTCTTGTCAGCTCTTTCTCTCGTGACGGCGCCCCTTTCTAACGGGAATAAGCTGCTGATCGGAATGCTCCTCTAAGAGTTAAATCTCTTCAATTTAAAGTTAAAACTTCATATACCACTTGAATGGATATCAGATGCAAGATAGGTTTAAGGAAATGGTGCAAAGAAGTCTCGGTTATATTTGAGCGATGAGGCCACTCAATTCCCTGGGAGCATTTCATGAAGAGGAACTTTTCGTCCTAAACCAACTTTTTGGTCGCTAACAGGGTATGATGGAAACTCAGAGACTGAGGAGAAGCACATTGGAAGTGTGATGCAATGAAGACTATTTGGGCATATACACACTCCAGTTGGCTCGAGGCGAAAAGCTAAGGCAATAAACACTGAAATTTCGAACTCACCGCGTCGCATTTTCAAGGCAAGTTTCCTATGGCCTTTCTCTTCCAGGCTTTCCAAGAATTTCTGGAATGCAGTGTCTCCTTTCTGTGGCAGTTTTTCCTGAAGAAATAGTATTTTCTCTGTCTTCGGAGATTTCTGAATGCTGACATGCTCATTGAGATCGATCACTTTCTTCGTCAACAACAGTTCAATCACTCCATCGTGGTTTATATACTTCAAATCTACTGTGTATCTGGCGATTACATCGGCAACTGTCTTTCCATCCACATGGAGCTCCTCCGCTTCTGAACAATTCGCCATCGCTTTAGTAACACAAATGTTTGTGTTCAATTCAGACCAATGCAGATACAGCGGAGTGGAAAAACACATTAAATTTCTTTGCACTTTATTTTTGGCCTCAAAATTTGCGACATCTTCTCCATAAATACTAAAGCTTCCATTTTCAGGAAATCTCTTCTTTTTCCATAAGAAAGAAGTGGGTTTTTTCACTCTCATGCTTGTTTTTGCTTAGAGATATTCTATTTCACCTTTAAAGCACCGGTTTCCTTTTATGTCTGGTTTCCAGGATCATCTTTTCAGCGTCATGAGTCTTTCATGAAAACGATGGTGCAGTTACCAGAACTGGAACTATTTTTGTTCAAATCTATGTTTAAACATGTAGCTACACTGAGGTTGTTGTGAGAATTGTGATGCGGAACTATCGTCGAGCCGCGAGCTCAACAGGGTGAAATTGTAGGCTTTGTACTTACCTGACTGCTCAGGAGGTAGCGGAAGATCAATCCGGAAACGTTGTAAGCACCAGCTTCATGTCTAATTGGCCGAGAGCTGGTTGGTACTGAAGGCATAACGACCTAATACTGTAGTCATGACAAGGAAAGCACACCTAATTCAAGTAAACAAATCACCACCATATTGATAGAAGCGACATCGCAGCGATAGGTAATGAGTTAAGTCTTCTTTTTCCCCACGAACAAAATGGCTCATCTACGCAGAAGGAAAGATGGCGGGATATGAGGCACTCAACGCCTTATCTTTTATAGCCTCTTCCCTCTTCGTGGACCTGAGAAGCCCTCTCCAGCGATAGATAAGCCCTCATATCAACCTTTACATGTACAGGGTGTCCATAAGGTCCAGCATCATAGGTACATATGCATAACTTTTTTATGTAAAGGTGATTTATCGTATTGAAATGACCCTGTCGAAAGAAGTTTGACTGGAGTTGATCCATTTCAGCGGTGGGAAGGGATGGTCGCAGCGCTCTCAACATTTCCAATAGAAACATGCACACTATATCAACTTTGCCTATGATACTGGACTCTGTGGACACCCTGTAGGTGTCATAACTGGCTCAAAAAATGCGAGTTCTATCACGGACTTCTCTGGTCCCTGATCTGTGGACATGTCCCACACGAAACGTGTCTAGTAACAGCGACTGGCGTTTAAAAAAAAAATATTTTACCCGCCCCCCCCCCCCCCCCGAGCTGAATGTTCAATGAGACCACCGCTTGGAAGACCACGACCCTACAAATTACGACGTGGCCTAAGTCGCGAATAAGAAACCGCCGATCCTCCCAGTCCAATTTTTTGCAAAGACAACGAAAGAGCACCGAGGGAAGCGAAGCTTCCCATGAGAAACCTTTGCCGCAATTGTCCCATCGAACCCAGAACCGATATTGAGATGCTGATCTTCAGAAGGTAGGAGCAAAGGATGCGAAAGAGAATGGAGCATGATTAAATCCAGGTAATGTTAGTATCATCTGCAAATTGAAGTGATTTCAGAATTGTCTGGTCGATAAAACATTGCAGTCTGACCTCTCAGTCATGAGTTATTACCGATCATGGAGTCGGCGGAACTTTTGACGCATCTTGTGGCAGACTCAGCGGCTCGAAAATTGCCGGAAATTTATGTTACATGGTTTTTTTTGCATTGAAACTCCGATTCGTCGGGATTACGGAGGACACTGATTCTCGCTTTTTGAAGGATTTCATCCGGTTTTTTTTTTTTTGGAGCGGAACGTCTACTGGAAAATCCAGTGTTATGGGTCGATGACATGCACGAAGTTCCAGTTGCGTTTGGCGTTCATTCATCCATTTCTTTATGATGATGTTTTCCTCGCTCGATAAGTTGAAGACAATTTTTTTTTTACTCGGAACGATGCCAAGGGCGCTCGTGTTCTCCAGATTCCAATACGGAAGGAATGAAATCGAATGAGCTTGAAGAGAGCGAAGAAATTGCCTTTTCTCGATTCCCGGTCGGGTTCCATCCGTTTTCGAAGAAATTCATTGTGGTAGATCTCATTCAAGATCTGAAGGTCATTTCGGGCCACAAGCCCCTCAATTATTCGAAGAGGCAACCAGACCACATGACGCCCGTGAGGCGTACTCGAGCGCTTCCCGTCGCTGGTCTCCTTCCTTCCCAAAAACGACGAACCGATTCGCAGGAGACGGCTGTGGGCTGGAAATGCGCGATCCTCCGCTTCGACGATATCCGCGGTCCCTGCCGTCCCGTTCGCAGTCTCCCCACCCCCTTCCCCCCTTCCAGTCTTCCCCCTGCAGTCCCATTCCATTTAACTGCAGAGGATGAGACCACATTCGGTGGAACGATCGCCTCGTGAGCCGATGGGAATCCGTATCGGGGATTCCAACTCGAGTTGTCGCGTGATTCCGGCCACATCAGAATCGCGCTCTTTCTTATCGTATTGACCTTTTTTCCGAGTAGATAAAAGAGACTCCGATGGCGCTCCAAAGGTTTCGAGCCAACACTTCGCAATGGCATTCATTCAAATGGGGAGAAATGAAAAAGACTCAGCATTCAAAGCTCGAACTGATGGACTGCCTCGAGAGCCTGCCCTCGATTAGATTCAGTTTCCGGCTGGTTTTCGGTCATCGTCTCGATCGGCTCTGAGGTTTCGTATGTGGATCTCAGCCGGAAACGAGAAATAAAAGCGGCCCCGGTTCGGCTGAAATCCAAACACGAAAAGGAAACGAAGAAGCACGACCGATTTAATCCGGTGTTTTGGCTCGATATTGCTAAAAAGAAAAAAGCGGCACAACCGTCGCATGGAGACGATTCGCTCAAATACTCGGCTTAAAAAGGATCAAATTGAACAAAACGGCCGATGTATTAGGGCGCATGTTGAAGCTACTGCCAGAAGTGAGTGGACCGACCCAATTTGAAGAAACTGCTCGTGTTCACTCGATTGCTTGCATCGAAGGGGGCATTCCGTCGCTATCGAGAGGAAGTAACGGGGTGGAAAGGTTCCTTCGTTTCAATCTTCAGAGGCTTTTCTTCGTTCTCGCCAATGGGCAGGAGACGAATAGTGAGATTCGGGTGGGGAAATCGAGGGAAGAAAGCCGGATGGAAATTTTCGATATCACGAGCGAAACGGGAAAAATGAAGCTGTGAAACATATGATTGAACAAATGTTCCTGTAATTCGTGTTTTACTAATGGACACGTCCATCGTGAACTCATCTATCGAGACGTCTCTCCCCGGATCATGCGGCACTTTGAATTCATCTTGAAGAAGCTCGAGAACTGACCGCACTTTCTTCAGTCGGTCGTTGGAGTCAAATATAGCATTACTGGCAAGGTCCAGGTACTTACAGATGGCAATCGACCTCACGCTAGGCACGACTTCGTTCAAAAATGGTGTCTCGAAACATGCGTTGCGTCCGTTGAGCGACCAGTAAGTTTTGGACGATTACCAGTGCCATTAGAAAACGCTGGGCAAAGTAGGCCACAAGTTCATCCCTTGTCATAGGCAGCGAAGTTTGTAGTGAAACTGTCTTTCGCAAAGTGGCTACTTTCGGTCACTACGTGATTAAAAATAGTCACTGAAGAAACAACAAATTATGTATGCCTTTGTTGCTGCAGCGTTCATTGCTGCCTGATTCCGGGCTGTCCATTGAAAGGTATCACGTGATTGTGAGAAGAAATGTTTTTCCTCAATGTGGATTTTTTAAATATTACATTGGATTTGCATCAGGCATTTTATTTCCTATGTTCCATCCTAGAACTTGCAATAAGGTGGAATAGCAATTCTTTTTTTTTTTTAAGTAGAACTCAGTTCAGAAAATGTCAAGAATGTCAAAGTTCCCTCCTTCATACCTCTAATGGACACCCAGACAGACATGACTGACAAATTTTTAACACATCAGGTAATTTGACATGAAGATGAAATGCGAACATAACTGCTTTTCAGGAAAATGTCTAAGCAATCAATCATATTTATTATATTACAGAAGTTTTTATCTACAAAGATATTTATGTAATGCATTATATTATAAATATTCATATATAAA